CCAGAGGGGAGTGCTGGGGGTCCCAGTACACACAGAGGGGTCCCAGTGCACCCAGAGGGGAGTGCTGGGGGTCCCAGTGCTGCTCAGGTACTCACACCTGAGATGGGAGAACTGGACAGGCTCTTAGCCCTCGTGATGTTTCTCCCAGGACAGTGAGTTTAATTTCCACTCCTCCTGCTTAGGAAGCTTTTAATCACTTGCTGCTTACTAAGTAATATTTTACACCACTATTTTAACCCTTTTTTTCCCTTCCCTGAAGGCCAAAGCCCAGAGCCCAGTGCTGGGACAGCCTGGGGAGTGAGCTGCTGCTGCTGCTGGAAAGGGAGCACTGCACTCTGGTCCTGAGCTCTGCCACTCCTTGCTCCGAGTGCAAGTGAATTCCTACCTTGAATTTCAATTTTTAGGCAGTGACCATTTTATAAATGTCTGTTTTTAATCCATGGGAGCATCCTGCAGCTTTCCCTGCCTCTGGTGGCCTCCAGCTCCAGCCCAAGGCCCCACAGGGACTCGGTGCCACCCTGAGCTCCAGTGTGTCCTGCTCAGCCCTAGCGAGTGCCAACCCACACCGAGTGGGGCTGAGTGTCCTGGGGCAAACGCTTCTCCAAGCTGCATTATCCCTGCTTCCTTGGAATAAAGTTTATCTAATGCCATCCCAGACCTTGGTGCAGTAAAATTCTACTCCGTGAGGTGACGAGGGGACCACAGACCCTCCCTGAGAGGGTTTCCCACTCCCAAGGGCTGGTGGATCTGTGTTCCACTGTTACTACCCAACCTGGCTCTGTAGCTCTTGGCATCCCTGGGGCTGTGGGAGGTGGTACTGGAAGAGCTGGAGCAGGTCCTGGATAATGGCTCATGAATTGAGTGCAGCAGAGGACACTGGCAGGGCTAATATGCCACTCACCCCTTGGGCAGGGTTGTTCCTGAGGCCTCATCTTCTCCCACCAGTGCAGCTGGAGGGATCTTCCTTCTAAATATTTTATGGATGCTCCCAACAAATACAAGAAAAGCAGAAAAAAAAGGTGTTTAAAAGCAGGTGGCAACCAACCCTGGGCTCTCCCCAGGCATGGGGAAGATCAGGGAACAGGAGTTGGCTCCAGGGGATTGGGATGGGAACAAGGATGCCTTGGCTCTGGAATTGGGAAAGGTAACTAATTACTGAGGGAGCAGAGCCTGTTACTCCCCAGGATAAGTAATGTCCCAGTGTCTCCTCAGCTATGGCTGTGCCTCTCTTTGGTGCAAAACACTCACATTCTGTTCCACCTGAATGCAAACAGCCCCAGAGCACCTGCACCTTCCTGGCTCCTGCTCCTCTCCCTGCCTCAGGCAGCTCCAGCAGGACATTCCATCCCTGCTGGCCCCAAAGAAGGACAAGCAGAGCCCGAGGGATGTTAGGAATCTCCTTTATGCAGTGTACACTCGATGGCCAAGAGCACTTACAGGTTAATGCCGTGTACGGAACCGAGATGGACACACACCAAGCTAGAACTAATACCCAGCTCCAGAGTTTTCTCCATTGTTTAGTATAATTTTACATTCTGAATGAATATATATTAAAAAAAATAATAATCATCATCATCATCACAAACCAATCTTTGCTTTGACAAACAAGCCTAGTACAGACAATGTCAAGTCCATTTAAAGCACGAGGAAGTAAGGATGATTAGAAAAGCTTTAATTGAAAGGCCATTGGAGCTGTTGGCTGAGGAGCCACAGCACTTCCTTCCCAGGAGCATGGAACAAAACAAAGCCAAAACCCCCCAAAAACTCCTTCTCGTGTGAGGCTCATCCTGTTCTCCAGAACACCCCAGAGTCGAGGGAGGTTGGTTACTGGTGTGACCTTTGTCCTGTAGAAGAAGCTTCGTTTACCCCACGAGGCGCAAACGGCACCGACGAAGAGTTCGTTATCCGCAATCATAAATAATTAGTTGTAATAAATACAAGATCAAGTAACTTTTTCGAGCACGGGGCAGGGTGAGGGTCTCCACTCCTGTGCTCCACGGGAGGAGCACACAGACATTAGCAGCAGTTTTACTCCCAGCTGGAACCAGCGGCACACAGAGCTCGGGGGGCACTGGGGCCCCAACCAGCCCCTCCACGGAATCCAACTGGTGTTCCCACGTCTCCTGGGACACCTGGCTGGGAATGAGCATCCCAACAGGAGGGAAGCAGCTCCGAGCTGCTCCCTGGGCCCAGGAGCTCCAGGTGTTGGCGCTGACTCCGAGCGGTTTCTGAGCTACATAAACGCTTCTACCAGGAAATGGACGAGAGTCGAGAGTAAATATTCTTCCTACAAGGATCTGTTCCCTGGAAAGGGCAATATGCAACGGGAGGGGAACAGCTTCCTAACCTGGGGGGGTTGGGAGAGACTCTGTATGCCAACGACTACCTACGACTGTTGCACACACATCATTCCCATTCGCTCACAGAAGAACAAGAACACACACACGTGTTTTGGGCTCTTCCCTTACTCACACCCCACATCTCCCACATCCCACGCACTCACCGTCCCCAATATTCACAATAATGTACAATAAATACAGCCTCTGTGGTTCCCAGGAGCGTGGACGAGCCAAACCCACGCGCTGTGCCGGAGCTGGAGGTACAGTCACACTCCCCGGGCTGAGCTCGGCGTGGGCTGTACTCAGGGCAGCACCAAGCCCAGGGCACAGGCACCTTCCAGGGTGGTCTCTTCCTCGGGAGCTCCCATACCTTGGGCTCTAGTGACCAGCACAGCGGCACAGTCCTCGGAACGTTCCGGAGCGGCGACGTCAGGCGGAGAGGGACAGGACACACGCTGAGGGCTGAGCTGAGCCCCCCCAGAACACCTCCAGGACACGCAGGAGTTCAGGGTAGAGTTGTCCTCTCTGTTGACTCTTGCCTTGCCATGCAGCAGTTTTACCTTCCACCCAGCAGCTCTGTGCCTCCCCTGCCTCGTCCTCCTGCTGGGCGTCACATTCGGAGGAGAATTTGCTCTTAGATCAAAGCTTTTTGAGTACAAAAATGAGTCTCAGGTGTTGGCAGCACCTCGGTTGTTCTGAGAGCTCGATGGGAGAGGGGACAAAGCCCCAAGCTGAGGGTTGGACTGTAGTATCTTACACCCTACGGAGAGAAGTTTGTTCTGCTGACGTGTTAGTTACAAGACTCTTGTTGCTAAGCAAAGAGCACATTCCAGAACATCCAGGGCAGGAACCCGAGGGACCCAGAGCCCTGTCACTGCTCGGAGCTCCCGCGGCCGCGGTGGCCACCCGTGTGCTTGTCAGAGTGTAGACACGTGGTGAGAGGTGCACGTGTGGTTTGGCAGCCAAATTCCTGCTCCAAACCTCAAGGAAGTGCCATAAATGCTGCTTGTCCCTGCCTGGGACACAGGAGTGCTCTGCAGCCGGCGGGGCAGGATTCCCTCCCCACATCCCTTCCGGACTCAAACGCCTCGGGGAGGTCCCCGAGCCTGCCCTGCAGGGCCTGGAGCTGCTGCTGCCTCAGGGCAGGTCCTTCTGGACTACAAAATTAGAAATGTACATGTTGAAAGGTTTGTTGTTGGGTATTTTTTGTTGTTTTCTTCCCCCTCCCCCCCCCCAACTTAAATTATACACAAACTTGGTCTTTACTAAACTATCCTACAAATATTCCACAAACAAGGCAGCAAAAGAACCAAGTCCACCACCACAAAGTCTACAGATACAAAAATGGAAGTCTTCTGGGAATTACTGGAACAGGAAGGAAAGTCTGGAAAAATAAATTAACCTCCGGGTGGGAACGGAGAGGGTTCCAGGGCAGCAGAGTCACCTCCGGGCGCTGTCCCCGCCGGCTCAGCCGCTCAGAGGGTCCTCGCGGTAGTGGATGGCGTAACGGAGCTTCTCCAGCATGATGTCCAGGGACGAGTACTGAGGGAGCTTGATCATGAACATGCACGTCTCCACACGGATGTACCGCGAGTCCGGAGAGCCTGCGGAGAGCACCGGGAAAGGGTTGGAGAGGCCACCAAAAAGGGCTCAAAGAGGCACCAGGAAAGGGCTTGGAAGAGGCAACCAAGAAGGGTTGGAAGAAGCACCAAGAAAGGCTGGAAGAGGCATCAGGAAAAGGGTTAAAGAAGGACCAAGAAAGGGGATGAAGAGGCAACTAGGAGCAGGATTAAAGAAGCACCAGGAAATGGGGTGGAGAGGGACCAGGAGAGGTTGAAAGAGGCACCAGGAAAGGGATTAAAGAAGGACCAAGAAAGGAGTTGAAGCACCAGGAAAGGGGTTGAAGAGGCACCAGGAAAGGGGGTTAAAGAAGGACAAAGACAGGGGTTGAAGAGGCACCAGGAGCAGGATTAAAGAAGCACCAGGAAAGGGGGTTAAAGAAGGACAAAGACAGGGGTTGAAGAGGCACCAGGAGCAGGATTAAAGAAGCACCAGGAAAGGGGGTTAAAGAAGGACAAAGACAGGGGTTGAAGAGGCACCAGGAGCAGGATTAAAGAAGCACCAGGAAAGGGGGTTAAAGAAGGACAAAGACAGGGGTTGAAGAGGCACCAGGAGCAGGATTAAAGAAGCACCAGGAAAGGGGTTGAAGAGGGACCAGGAAAGGTGCTAAAAGGGCACCAAGAAAGGGATTGAAGAGGGACCAGGAAATGAAGAGGGACCAGGAAAAGGGTGGAAGAAACCCAGTGCTTTCCCCTCCCCCTGTCTGTTACTGAAGGTATCAAAATCAAATCCCTCTGCCTGTTGTGGGTCTTTTGAGCCCTAAATATTCCTGTGCCTTGGGCCCATGTCTTTCCAATAATCAAGTCACTTGAAAATCATATCCAAGTTTCCCAGTGACTCCAGAGGGCAAAGCTTTAAGTAGCATGAAATCCCAGACCAGTTTGGGTGGGAAAGGACCTTAAAACTCATCCAGGGAACCTTCCACTAGAAGCAGTTTGAGTTGATGTTAAATTACACTTCTACACGGTTTAAACCCAAGTTCTCTGTTCCTAGTCCCACCCACAACCACCTCCCTCTGCCACTGCCTGTGCACTGAACACCAGTTTGAGTGTGCAGGTTTAAATGCAATTGAGTGGGAAGTGGGAGCTGGAGCCATTCCAAGAGTCCCCACCTGCTGCTCCATCGGGGGGAGCAATCTTCATGGGGTACGGGGGCACGTGGGCCGTGTCGGGGCCTCCGTCCTTGCAGGGGCAGGTGAAGGGAATCCTCTCCTGGTTACAGGCAAACTTGATGAACTTGCAGAGCTCCTCCTGGGTGAACATCTCCAGGGCACTCCAGAAGAACTCGATGTGCTGGTCAGTCTCCATCAGTCCCACCTGGTACATGGTGTGTGCCTGAGGGAGAGAAGGCAGCTGTTCACAGCTGTTCTCTTGGGAACCTTCCCCACTACTCTTCAAACAAATAAAACGCAGACAGATGACAAATCTGGTGTTGGAAAGCAAATTCCTTATTCCTTCTCCTCCATCCTGAACCCAGTGCTATCTCACCAAGCTGCCCTGGGGCCAAGGCAGTGTCCAAGCACAGCCCAGCGCTGCCCGGGGACGCGGCACGCGCGGAAGGTTCTCCCCGCGTCCCACGGTGAGTTTGCTGGGGCAGCTGTTCTCACCTTGAGGAACTCGAGGTTGATGTAGGGAAGGCCACAGGTCCTGAGCTCCATCTCCAGGGGGGTGAGGGTGGTGAGGAGCTGCAGGGGGATGATGGAGCCCAGCCCGGCGCGCACCGCGGTCATGCACTCCGGGCTCTGCAGCTCGCGCATGCGCAGGCTCCGGATCGCCGCCGCGTACGTCGCCTTGTTCTCCCACCTGCAGGGACAGCCTGGGGTGAGGGAGCAGCACCTCTAGGAGCCCTCGGGTCTCCCCCTACCAGAAGGGTTTTATGGAGAGATTCCACTTCTGGGCAATCCAGCATGAGCAATGAGCTCTTTGCATTCCGACGCTTCCCAGTTTAATCCCGCTCTCCTCAGCTTCCTCCCCTCCTGTCCCACCTGCCTGTTCCTCCCAGCTGTGGGTGCTCACTCAACCCACAGCAGTCCTGCTCCTCAGCTCCCTGAGGAGAGCTAAACAGCACCAGTGATCCCAACACTTCACCACCTAAAGCTTTCCCAGGCCATTCCACCCTCAGCTTGCTCCAAAAGCAGCTCTGGACAGCCTGGTGCTCAGAGAACCGTTCCAGAGGTGGTTCCTTGCCATGAAGTGCAGTGTGCTGCCAAGGAGGCTGTTCCTTACCCCACGGGGATGTGCCTGCCCCTGGGACACAGCTCCACCTCCTCCCCTGTCATGGTCAGGTAGGTGAACTTGCAGCAGGGTTTGTTGGGGCAGTCAGGGCTCTCCGTCGCCAGGTGCTGGGAGGCAATTTCTGCACACAGAGCTTCCAGTTCTGTCTCATCATTGATCTGCCACAGAGCACAGCACAGAGTCCCTGGTGACCTGTTCCAGGGGTCACCTGGCCACAGAGCACAGCACAGAGTCCCTGGTGACCTGTTCCAGGGTCACCACAACACCCAGTGAGAGTCAAACTGCTTTAGGGGGTTCTGGTCTGGGTTAGCAATTCCACAGTCCAGAACTGCCTTAGTTCCACTGTGCCTGGCAGCAGGGGAAACTGGGAAGCTTCCCCAAGGGAACAGGATGGAAAAATCCTGCATCCAAGAGAGGCAAAACACACTCTGGCCCTGCTGCCAGCACAGAGCCACCAGCAGCAGCGAGGGCAGGTGGCAGGGACCTGCTGCCACAGCCAGGAGGAGGAGGACAGAAGAGAGAAAACGTGGCTTACGTTTTCAAATTTCTTGACATAGTTGTAGGTGAGGATGTCAGCCTCCTGCAGGTCCATGTCAGGATCCAGTGGCTCCCCCACCAGTGTTTTCCAGAAGGAGGGCAGCAGGTCCAGGGGCAGCGGCACGTCCGCGCGGATGGCAATGCCCAGCAGCTGCCCAAAGAAGTGGAACAGCTGCTCCTCGGCGTAGGTGATGGGGCTGGGAGTCAGGATGTACTTCCCCTTGGGAAAACCAGGGCACAGAGAGCAGGAGTCAACAGCTGACCATGCCCTGAGGGGCCATGGGTCAGCTCACGACCCTCGCCGGGTTCATGGCCCAAGCACCACAGGTTTGCTGTACCTCAGGCACTGATAACCACCACCACCTCAGGATCAACACCACTGAGCTGCTTCCCTGCAGAGCCTGCTCTGTGTGTGGGATCAGTCTGAGACCCAAGCCCTGCAGCTGTGGGATGCTCTGAAACACAGCCTGGATGTGCAGCCAGCTTTGCTGTCCAGCTGGACTTGAGCTGAGGGAAATGTCCTGTTTCCTACCTCATGGATATTCCCAGAAAGGAATGACACCTCAGCTACTGAGAGTTCTTTGGGCCATCAGCTTTGTCTTGTTTCTCTAGAACATCCACTGCTCAAAACAGACACTAAATATGCAAAGATAGCATGGATGGAGCATCTTATTCGACTGGGAACGTGACTGACCCTGCTGGTGATGTTCCTGGAGTGATGCCACAGAATAGGAGTTCACCAGTCTGGGACAAACTCTAAGCCAGATAAATGAACCCAACTCACTCTGAACTCTGACCAGCACTCTTAATTCTGCTACATTTTGCATTCTGACACTTGGCTCCTTCTCCAAGTGCCAGTTGAATTGTGTGAGGTGCAATGAGAGGTTCACCAACACTTCCAGCTCCCTCAGTGGGCTGAGGCCTCTCCTGTCCCTCTGCCCAGGTGTTCCACTCCTGTTCAAACCCAGCACCCAACGAGAGAAAAGCCACCTCATTTCTGGCACTGGGATCTCACACCTTGTTCTTGTTGACAGCAGAGCTGGGGCACAGCAGCAGCAGGGACAGAGAGGAGCTCTGCAGCTCCTTACACACTTGCCAAAGGAAGTGACGGAAAGATCCACCTGGAAAAGGGAAAACAATGAAAATAGTCATTTGT